TGCTAGTAGGGGAGAGAGGCAGGGGGACAGAGGGAGAATCTCAAGCAAGCTCCACATTCAGCGCAGAGCCCGATGGGTAGCAGCTCAACCCCACAACCTTGGGATCATGACCTGAACCAAAATCAAGAGTCAGATGCTCAACCAAAGGAGCCACCCAGTTGCCCCTATCCGTTTTTAATTGGGTTATTGGTTTTTTTGCTGTTGAGTTGAATGAGCTCTTTATATATGTCTGATATTAATGTTTTATCAGATATATGCTTTGCATATATTTTTTCCCATTCTGCAGGTGGTCTTTTCACTTTGTTGATGGTTTCTTTTGTCCTGCAGAAGCTTTTTAGGTTGATGTACTTCCATGTGTTTATTTTTTATTGTAATTCTGTATTTTTTAAGTGTCACAGCCAAAAAAATCATTACCAAGACCCATGTCGATGAGCTTTATTCCTGTTTTCTTTCAGGAGTTCTATGGTTTTGTCTTGCATTTAAGTCTTTAATCCATTTTGAGTTAATTCTGTGAGTTAAGATATCAGTTCAGTATGTTAATATCTAATTGCTTTAGCATCATTTATTGAAAAGGCTCTCTTTTCTTCATTGAGTATTCTTGGCTCCCCATCAGATATTAGTTGACCATATATTCATGGGTTTATTTCTGGGCTCTCAATTCCATTTGCCTGTTTTTGTGCCAGTACCATACTGTTTTGATAACTATAGCTATATAGGATAGCTTGAAATCAAGAAGTGGGATGCTTTGTTCTCCTTTCTCAGGATTTATTTGCCTATTTGAGGTCTTTCGTGGTTCCACAATTGTGTTTTCTATTTCTGTTAAAATATCATTGGAATTGTGATAGGCATTGCAATGAATCTACAGATGGCCTTATCTTAACAATACTCATTCTTCCAGTCTGTGATCGCGAGATACCTTTCCACTTAGGTATCTCAGACTTCTAGTCTGTGTATCGCGAGATACCTTTCCTGCAGCTTTACTGAATCCATTGATTAGATCTAACAGTTTTTTGGTTAAATCTTCAGGACTTTCCATCTATGAAATCATGTCATCTGCACATATCAACAATTTTACTTCTGCCCTTCCATTCTGTTGAATGGAAGTGGTGAGAGTGGGTGCCCTTGTCTTGTTCCTGATGTTAGAGGAAAATATTTCAACCCTTCATCATTGAGTACAATTTTAGCTATGGGCTTGTCATATATGGCCTTTATTATGTTGAGATGTGTTTCTTTTCTGCCTAATTTGTTGAGTTTTTATCATGAATGGATGTTGAAATCTGTCGAATGCTTTTTCTGTGTCTATTGAGATGATTGTATGATTTCTTTCTTTCTTTCGATGAATGTGATGTATCACATTAATTTGCACATGTTGATGAGTGAGGCCATGGGCTGTGCTCTCTGTTCAGGTGCCGTTGTACATAGGACTGTTGAATGGGCTACGTAGCTCCAGTGTGCTTTGGTCAGGTTCTCTGTCAGACAGGCTGAAGGCTGTATTTAGCAATGAGGGAGCAGGGCTACACATTTGATCCCCTGCGCAGGTGCAGCACGAGAAGCAGCTTTAAAGTTCTTAAAGCTCTTTGCTCCCTTAACTTGTGCTGACCCACCAACCCACATCCCAAATTCTCTGACCAAACAGGACCACTGGCTTTGTTTTGCCAACTATCAGCTCTGCACACCTGCCTCATAGCCTGAGTGCCACTGGAGTTGTTTTTCCAATATAAGTTGTGTCCCCAGCCTTTATGGTCACATGGAGCCTGAAGACTATGTCTCAGCTCCTTTGCCTGGGAGGGAGTGGTGGGGGGGTGGAGGAGCTACTCCAAGCTACCCTCCATTTCCCCAATAGCCTCTGCAGCTGTGACGGGCTGAGAGCTACCCTCAGTCTTGGCTACCATTGAACCGCCCTGCCTGTGTGTAGCCCGTGAATGCTCTGTGCTGGTAGTTGTGCTCTCGGCACATCAGCTCTGCCCCCTTGCCTCTCTGCTCCACTGCCGGTAAGTCACACTGCTTCCAGGAGTCATTGCCAGCCCTTCTGGTCAGATAGGCCTGGAAGATATTCTCCAAGTGGCTGGGTCTTTGATTTAGCTCTTTGCCTGGGCATAGGCAAACCAGGCTGTAGAGCTGACAAAATTCATTTGAGAAACTAAATCAGATATGTACCCCCACTGAGTTCCCCGGTCAGAACACACCCCTGACTTGGTTCTGCAGATGAGCAAAAACCACTAGTTAAGATTTCTACTCAAGCACTGCAGACATGAACTCAGTTTGCCAAGGTCCTTGTGCCGGTTGTTGCAAGCCCCTCTCACCTTCTTCATCACAGTCACATTCCTGGTGGCTGGGCCCCACAGACCTCCCTGAGTCCATAATGGTGTGAGACCAGAGTAAGGGCTCCTGCCAAGTGATCCACAATGCTGGGGGTGGGGCAGCTTGACGTCCCCCCAGGTTCTCTTTTTCTGCTGGAGGAAGTGGAGGCTAAGGAGACCTCTCCAGGGGGTGCTGTCCTGGTGCAGTGGAGGGGCAATGCAGTCAGCCTGTAGCTGCCTCTCTTACACTTCTAATGCAGACTTGCCTTGGTCTCTGTGGTGTGGGGTAGGGGCTTCAGCCTTACCTCCGTGTTCTAGGATTCTCTCAGTGGTGTCTTGTTCTTGCATAGTTGTTAATTGTTCTTGTGAGGGGGAGTGATGTCAGGAAGAATCTATGTTGCCATCTTGCTGACATCACTCCCTCTCTGGTCAATGTTACTTTTAGATCTCTAGGTGGCATATAGTTCCAAGAGGCTGGTGGAGTCCTTTTTCACTGACAGATGTGGACTGAAAGTTCAGGCCCCTTGAATTTGGCTGCTGTCTGGGTACCATGGGGAACCTGGCATGATCCCTCCCACGTAGGTTCAAGACTGGACTTTAGGGGCATCTGGGTGCCTCAGTCGGTTGAGCATCTGACTTCGGCTCAGGTCATGATCTCACAGTTTGTGAGTTCGAGCCCCGCATCGGGCTCTGTGCTGACAGCTCGGAGCCTGGAGCCCGCTTCGGATTCTGTGTCTCCCTCTCTCTCTGCCCCTCCCCAGCTTGTGCTCTGTCTCTCTGTCTCTCAAAAATGAGTAAATGTTAAAAAAACATTTTTAAGACTGGGCTTTATTCTTAGTGATTCCAAATCAGAAGTGTGGAAGAAAATTGAAAACATTTAGAAAGTTGTAGCCTGATATTTGAGGAAATTAGAAGAGTTCAGGATCCACTTTGGTTTAGGGGTGTATAACAAAACTTCAAAGACAATGAAGAAGACTAAAATCTAATATTCACAAAGTTATGTTATCGTTTTCTACTCAAACATAGCTTTTTACTCTATAGTAGCCCTCATTGCTATCAAAGATATTGAGAGCAGGACTAATTTGTTTGCAAAATAAGTCTAATTTCATTCACTTGGCCTGGTTATTTACATAAGTACAGAAACAGTAGTGATTGACCATAGAGGCTCTTATAAAATTTGCTTTGCAAAATCTATTAATAGAGAATCTTAGTTCAGTCTTATAAAGCCTCTCTAGGTTAAAAGGCCCACTCAAGGACCACCATCTGACTTCACCTGGAATACTTGTATACATTTGGGGTTAAATCCTCTTTTGTTGATGTTGTTGTTGTTGTTTTGTTTTGTTTTGTTTTGTTTTTTCAGTTTTATTTTTTATTTTTTATATTAAATATAATTTATTGTCAAACTGGTTTCCACACAACACCCACTGTTCATCCCAAAAAGTTCCCTCCTCAATGCCCATCACCCATTTTCCCCTCCCTCCCATCCCCCATCAACCCTCAGTCCATTCTCAGTTTTTAAGAGTCTCTTATGGTTTGCCTCCTTCCCTCTCTGTAACTTTTTTCCCCTTCCCTTCCCCCGTGGTCTTCTGTTAAGTTTATCAGGATCCACATAAGAGTGAAAACATATGGTATCTATCTTTCTCTGTATGACTTACTTCACTTAGCATCACACTCTCCAGTTCCATCCACATTGCTACAAAAAGTCATATTTCATTCTTTCTCATTGCCACGTAGTATTCCATTGTGTATATAAACCACAATTTCTTTATCCATTCATCAGTTGATGCACATTTAGGCTCTTTCCATAATTTGGCTATTGTTGAAAGTGCTGCTATCAACATTGGGGTACAAGTGCCCCTAGGCGTCAGTACTCCTGTATCCCTCGGGTAAATTCCTAGCAGTGCTATTGCTGGGTCATAGAGTAAGTCTATTTATAATTTTTTGAGGAACCTCCACACTGTTTTCCAGAGCGGCTGTACCAGTTTGCATTCCCACCAACAGTGCAAGAGGGTTCCCGTTTCTCCACATCCTCACCAGCATCTATAGTCTCCTGATTTGTTCATTTTGGCCACTCTGACTGGCGTGAGGTGATATCTGAGTGTGGTTTTGATTTGTATTTCCCTGATGAGTGACGTTGAGCATCTTTTCATGTGTCTGTTGGCCATGTTAAATCCTCTTTTTTTGAGGTCTCCACAATATCCTGAGGTTCCCAGGACTGCCAGGAAGTAACCTTCCTTACTCACCTGGTAAAGTTTCAAGGTATCCTGTCAGCAGGATATCAGGCCAGTTTTTCCAAGGGCATTTTATTGTCTGCATAAAGTCAACATTAGTTCATTCAGTCTATCTGGTTATATCTGATTTTATGCTTATTCTCAAAAATGATAGTCTAGTCAAAGCCATGTTTCTAGTTGTGTCCTATTATAAGGAGATCTGATTGCTATTGAACTTGTGCAAATAATTATATTGCTATGAAATTAAGAATGCTCAATAAGTTTCTGAATTATGGGGGGATTATATAGGCATAAAAAGTAAATGTTTCCATTCTTATGACAAAGGTATATTGACAACATTAAGTCATAGGTAATTAAGAAAAAAGAGAAGAACTTCCCTTAAATCTAGAAAATCAAAACAATAAGGAACGCTTCACAGAAAAAGTTATAAAAGTAATCATAATTATCCTCATCATTTCATTCAATATCTTTTTATTCTCATTTTCTTGAATCCAGTTTTTCCATTAGTTCTGGAAATTCTTCTCCCATTCAGCTCCATGATCTTCAAGTTATCAGAAATCTGTATTCCAGAGTTGTTCTCAGAGTCTTTTCCATGAATCTCCTGAAGATGAAGCATTTTTGAAAAAGTTTCAGAGTAAATAGCTACAAATGGCAAAAGGACTTTTTAAAAAATGGCTGTGGTTAGGGGCATCTGAGTGACTTAGTCGGTTAAGTGTCTGACTCTTGGTTTCAGCTCAGGTCATGATCTCGCGGTTCGTGACAGGCGCTTGAGATTCTCTCTGTCCCTTTCTCTCTGCCCCTTCCTGGTTCTCTCTCTCTCTCTCTCCATGCATGCCACGTTTAAAGCTGAGAGTTCATTTGATAAGGAAATGCAGTTATTTCCATGGCATACAATAATTTAGAATAATAATTGGACAGTGAGAGTACTAACAAATTTTTAGAAACTTCACACAATTTCTGGAATACCTATATCAGTAACATATAACCATATACATGTGCCCTAATAAGGTTTATTATCACTTCTTGCTTGGTAATGCTTCCCATGGCATTTAACATACCAAGTAAACCAGAATAGTTTAATATTTCTCCTTTACAAGATGGAGACAAATTCTTTGAGATTTTTTTTTTCAGGTGCCTTCTGGGAAATCTCCAAGTTACTTTGAAGTCAAATAGACTCCATTTAGAATTTGATTTTGGGAAGTTGTTAAAACATCAAAAGTTTTAAATATCTAACTAAATAGGATCACACAAAGTTATGTAATAATAACTATTTAACCAAAGTGGCAATAGAAGATTTTAAAGGCAAATACAGAAGGTTACATAGTTTTGGACAAAACTTAGCTCTTAATATTGAGAAGAGTAGATTTTCTTAAGTAATGAGAAACATGAGAAAGATCACGTGAGGCACAAGAAATAATTTTAAGACACAAGATCTTGGTTTTCTAGGGAGGTTATTTAAATGGTTAAAACACATGCACACACACACACACACACACACACACACACACACACACACACCTTCCACAATCTCTTATCAAGAGCAGATCAGTAGTCCAAGAGCATTTTGTTCCTTTAAAAAAATTATTTATTTATTAGAGAGAGAGAGAGAGAGGGAGAGAGATAGAGGAGGACGAGAGGCAGAGGGAGAGAGGAGATAGAAACCCAAGCAGGCTTTGTACTGTCAGCACAGAGCCCAATGTGGGGCTGTATCCTATGAACCATGAAATCATGACCTGAGCTGAAATCAGGAGTCAGACACTTAACCAACTGGGCCACCCAGGTGCATTTTGTCCTTCTAACACAGAAAAAAAAAAGACAACAGATTCTAATTTTGCACCAGTGTAGTTCTGATATTAAGACACATTCTTTTAAAATTAAAATATCTTAACCAGCTTGACCACACATAACATTCCTTACCCAAGATTCCTTTTCTGCAACACTCTTATCCATTCTTGCTTTTCCTCCTTCTCACTCTGGAACGACCAGTCATTTTACTTTAAGTCACAGTTACTCTCTTTTTTACACCTTAACAACAACAAAAATAAAACATTTCCTTCATACTTTTCCTTTTCTGAATACACATTCAACTTTTTTCAAACGTATTTTTCATGTACAGGTGTTTTCTTTTGGCCTTAGCTCTCCTAGTAGTTCGAATTGCATATATTGATTAGAATTCTTAGAAACATTCATTTCTAGTGAAATTATTTAGCAGTAAGCAGCTTTTGAGCCTGTTGCAATAGCATTCTATAGTGTGGTAAGTTTATGAACACATCCAACCATATCATCAATTTTCTTCTTTATATTAGGTAGAAGACCTTCAACTATGATAGAAATCAAAGATTCTTATGTCTTAGATTTTGAGCTGTGTGTCTTGAGAATGTTTTAGTAAATCCTTCCATAAACAGCTTCAGAGAATTTTTCTTTACCTCTGGGTATATAGTTTCATTTTCACTTAGGGGAGAAGGCCTGAAAAAAAGTTCCTATCGGGCTCTAAATAGCAGCCTCCAATGTGGCCAACTTCTGACCACAGAGCGACTTAAAAAAAATTCTTTTGACTATGTTGCCCATTTTCAGCCTGGACAAACAATAATTATTCCTGGAGGCAATGGAAAATCCCATGGTGTCCCCACAGAGGGTGCAGAAGATACTGCCCTCTCAAGATCAAGAGCCATTCCAAAAAATAGCCAGAAGAAACAGAGACTTAGACAATTCCCCTGAGATCTAACAACAGTTAGTAGGGCCCTAGCAGCAAATGGCAGGCAACTCACACTTCTGTTCAGCCATATTTTAGAGCCCCCAACCTGAAGGTTCACCTGCCTGTGCATATAAGAACCTACACGTCCAGGCAGGCAGAAAGGCAAGCTAGGCTCTCAGCACACACCACTAGACAAATAAAAAGGCACTAACTGTTTCTGGGAAAGGATCAATAACCAATTGGTACCCAGAAGCAAATCCACGAGTCACAGTTCAAAGGTCTAATTCTTACAAATGTTTTTCCTGACAATTTGAATTTGGAAAGGAACGATTTTATCTTCCTTTCTCCACTATGTACCATAGAGGGAAATCTGGGAGAGCCGACTTCAGTAAGGATTCTTACTTTTTGCTGATTTCTATCAGTTTTCGCCAGATCCTATCTGCAGGCTGTGGAGTGAGTGGGGTGTCCCAGTGGATCTCATCTTGGTCACCAGAAACTGTAGAGGAAGAAAGATTATTTCTCCTCCACCCTTTATGGTGAGTACTTGGGCAAGACTCCTTTTTCTCAAGAGTATCTCAAAAATGGATACATTTATCAGGTTAAAATTTCTCCACTGGGGCCACTGTAATTCCACTTTAGCGTTGGTAAGATTAACCTAGCTGTTCAGCATTAAAACAAAAGTTTATTTACCCAAGGCTTTATACTGGACCCAGTCCAGCTCAGAACCCAGTCCAAATATGGCGGGTTTCAGACTTAGTTCAGAAAAGGAAATGCTCAAATGAAGGCTGAAAGCTCTTAACACAAATGCCGTGGAACTAGGATCCAAGCGGGACCTACCCAGGACCTTCCAAGGCAAGGAGAAAGCAGCAAGCTTAAGGGGCTCAACAGGCACCTGTGTCTGCTTGCTCTTTACTCCTGGGGGTGTCTGTGATCTCTTTTGGTTTCCTCTTCTGGTGCTAGACCTCTTCAAGATGAAGTGGGGCATATTAAAATTTTTAAGAGTGTTTTTGGGAAAATATCAATTTGAATCTTACACTGCCAAACCAGAAGTGCTTAGGGGCACTCTATGAACAGGCACCAGGGGAAATATTCCTGCAGAGAAAGCACAGAAACAAAGAAAGGAAGTGATCGATTGCCTGTAGCTTAAAGTCTAGTTGGCTTTTTGGTTTGGTTGTCATTAACGTTTTGATTTTGCAGCCTTAAAGCATTTTCTGACTTAGATTTTGGTTTGCTTACGTAGGCCACCATGGCATGAGAGCCCCTTCTTTCTAATGGCCTCCTTGTTTAATTGAACAGCTCAAAGAAAGTATTACAAAAGAACAAATAAGTACAAGTAAACTAAAATAACAGTTCAAAAGAAGAAAGGTCATACTTGGTTGAGGATGATCAGAGGTTTCATGGAAGAAATGATCTCTGAAATATGTCTGAAAGAACCGGTAAAATTTTAGCAGGCAGGGGATGCTTGGGTGGCTCAGCGGGTTAAGCGTCCAACTCTTGAATTTGGCTCAGGTCATGAGCTCTTGGTTTGTGGGACGGAGCCCCACATTGGGCTCTGTGCTGACAGCAAGCACTCTGCTTGGGATTCTCCCTCTCCCTCTCTGCTCCTGCCCTGCTCACTTGCACATGCATGCACACACACACACACACACACACACACACACACTCTCTCTCTCTCTCTGTCTCAAAATAAATAAATATTTTTTTTAAAAAATTTAGCAGGCAGAGGTAAATGGAAGGAGGCAATTGGTCCATAAAAGCAAGTCAGACCAAACTATTTGTACTATATGCCATGGAGGTTGGCAGCTGCCGTAGGTGTTGAACAGGTGAATGTTGATTTTCTTTTGACATTTACTTGGCTTAAGATAATAACTGAAAATGGATCTATGCTATAAAAAATTAATAACTCAAGCAAAAGTGAAATTCTGGCTTTGCTTTACTTACAGAGTGATCTCTGTCGGTTTCTTGAGTTCTCAGCCTCACAGAACCAGCCAGTTCTGTCCATTTTATCTTTCCCTGCCAAAAATCAACCAGCAGAGACAATAGGTCAGAAGTCGGGAGGCTAGAATTCAGCCTCAATTAGTTACTACCGGTGTGACCTTGGGAAAGTCTCCCACTCAGCTGGAACTTCTTCATCCATTAAAAAATAATGAATCATTTCAGGCCTTCTTCACAACACTGGAATGATCACATGAGTGAACATTCTGTAGGAATTATTTGTAAGCAGTGAAGTGTTCTGCCAAAGAAAGACAGCTTTATTCTACCATTTTCCATTGCCCCCCACCTCCTCTGCAGCATAATTAAGGCAGATGTGAAAGTGTATAAGGATGTGGTGGCATACCATGGTATTTTATGACTCAGCATTTTCACGTGTTACCATGTGCAATGACTGTTAGTAAGGATATATGTCCCTAGCCTATCTGGAATCCAAAGTGACACTATGCTTTTGTGCTCCTCGGCTATTGCAGGTGGGGATCATTTTCTATTTGCTGGAAGAGCTTTTAACTAGGTTAAACAATTTGAAGCCAGATGGGATATTGAGAATTATGCAGCCACTCTAAGCCCGAAAAGAAATGTAGCCTAAGTACTGTGATATAAGCAAGACTTTGGGTACGCAGCTAACTATGATGGAAAAAGTCATTTTGTGCCCCAAGCAAAAAGAGAATTATGAAAGTGATGTGCCATCAGAAAAAATGGGATGGTTTCCACAGAAGAAAAAACTGAACCACAAATATAGTGTAAGCCCATAGTTGGTCTAAGCAGTGAGACATCTCTCTTGATAGTGAGAATTTGGAGATGATACAGAATTTAACAGGTTAAAATGTTAAGTTACAAAAGAACTGTTTGGGAGAACTGAGTTAACTCAGGACATATTAAACCTCTGTCCTCCTATTTCTGATGGCCTTTCTGAGGGTTTCCACATCCTAAATAGACCAGCTGAAATGAGATTAACTGAGGATAGTATATAGTTCTGGCCCTAAGAAAAACTGAGAAATTTACTAAGCCTTTTTTTTTAATAGTTACTTCTCTCCTTCTAAAACCTACCATGAAATTCTTTTCATTGCCCTTGATGCTTTTTAGACATCTACTTCCTTTCTTTTCTCTTGTCTACCACCCCCCCCCCGACTTGTATATCTATTTTATATTATGTATGGTCACTTACGCCATCCTACATATTCCATTTCCATTTTTTTTAATGTTTGTTTATTTTTGAAAGAGAGAGATTGAGAGAGAGAGAGAGAGAGAGAGAGAGAGAGAGAGAGAGAGAAGGAGACACAGAATCCAAAGCAGGCTCCAGGTTCTGAGCTGTCAGCACAGAACCCGACACAGGGCTCGAGCTCATGAACCATGAGGTCATGACCTGAGTTGAAGTCGGACACTTAACTGACTGAGCCAGCCAGGTGCGCCTCCATTTCCATTTTAAATCCTGTCTAGGCTTCAGAGTTTACCTACACTGGGTTGCAATCCCTCTGGAATATTCCTTCTACTCATATGGTGATGATTGATAACAAATTTGTTGACGTGCCCTTCAGCTCAAGAAATATATTTCTATTTTAAGCTGGCCTTCTGAAAACATACATTAATACAGTGGCACTTCAAGAGTAAGAATTTGACTGTGGAAAACCAACAAAAGGGGATTTTGCAGTAAGCCTTACAGAGGGTGTTTAGTTTTTAGTTTAGCGATTTAAAGCTAAACTGGATGATATCTGATAAAACACACTTTAAATAAAAAACAACATACATATAGGTTAAAAGTAAACGAATTGACCAAGCTGTGTCATGTGAACAGTAACCACACACATAGCTAGAATAGGCATATAATATCAGACAAAATAGAGGTCAGAGAAAGGAATATCACTGAGGACAAAGAGGGACATTTTGTAATGACAGAGTAGTCGATTTAAAAAAATATATATATCACAATCAAATAAGTATGCACCTCATAATAAATCTTCAAAGTACACGGAGCAAAAATGATAGAATTTAAAGGAGAAATAGACATCTCCACATTTGTAGCTGAGTTCAATACTCCTCCGTCAGAAACTGACAGAACAATGAGATAGTAAAAGGGCTGCCCTGGGCCCCTCCTTCCCCTGATCCTCCTTTAGTCACCCTGATTCTTGAGCCAGGTGTGTGTCACATTCTGTGATGATGGACAGTAGCAATAGCCTCTCTTGTTCTACATCCATACTATCCAGTTCACAGGTGTGTTTCAGTCTATCCTTTTACGTTCCAGCTCTTATTTGGGGTCACAGCTTGTCTTTGCTCTCTTCCCTACATTACATCATCTTTCCTTCCTGACTGCCTGTCCTGCAGACTGGCTCCAGCATTAAATGCAAAGACAGTAGCCTTACAGACACTGACTCACAAACTCCCATGGTTGTCTAAAGGTCACATCTGTATAGCAAATCTTGTACCCAATCTAGATCTGTATTTATGTACCTCTATCTCTATATAGCTGCATCTGTATCTATGGCCATAGTTACATCTACTTCATACATATAAGCTGCAAATCCTAATTGATTATGGTATAGAAGGCTGATTGGTATGGAATTTGGTGCCGAGAGTGATTCCAGAGGAATGGAATCTTTAGGATTAGTTCTCTGAAATGGTTTTGAGTTTTCTGGACTGGATCCTCTGGTCAGATTAGACTTATAGGCCTTAATGACCTCATTTCCAGGGGAAAAAGTATCTTGACCATGCATGGCACACAATTTCACAATGATTACTTAAATTATCACCTACGGATAACTGTAAACATGTGCCTGTAGAAGGCAATTGCTCTGGGAGGCCTAGTAATTGCTGCCATAGAACATTCTAGTGAAAATAAGGAGTATAATGGGGTTGGTTGGCTGTTAGGCTGCAGAAATGAGGGAAGGGAAAATAATGAGCTCAAGGCTTTAAATTCCAAGGTTAAGGTCTGCCTAAGGGACCGAAAGCTTCAATAATTGTCCTAAAGGAAACTCTTAACTGTTATAGCCATAAGGAAGATATTTCTCAAAATCAAACCCAGTGCCTTATCCTGGGGATGCCTGAATTACAAATGCAGATTGAGTTCTGAATTCTAGAGGATCTCTATTGTTAAAGTTGGATCATTGATATAGTTGGAATAGCACCTGAATAATTGAAAAGGGATCACATAGGCATATTCCAGTGAAGCTTGGTACTTGGAACCTCAAAATTCTGCCAAGCCTTCTTTGTCTATAGAAGAAGACTTTGAACCTCTGCCTAATGAGGTTAGTCTTCTCTTGGCTGAAGAACCTGTACCTGCTTCTCGGGAGGTAGTTATCTGGCAAGGTACAACTGATATTCCTCAGGAACTACTCTCACTATCTCTATTTGCTTACAGACCTATAACTAAACTCAGGACTCAGTAGGCCTCAAAGGATGAAACACAAAGTATGATCCATGAGGAGATCTGATATACACAGTATAACGACTTTTCCAGAACGCTGGGAAATATATGTAGGAATAGATTTTTATTCTATGGATCGAGATGGAATCAGATGGAATCTGATCGAGATGGAATCAATATAAATTTACATCAGCATAGGGATGCCAGGGTGGCTCAGTCATTTAAGTGTCTGACTTCAGCTCAGGTCATGATCTCGTGGTTTGTGGGTTCAAGCCTCATGTCACATTCTGTGCTGACAGCTCAGAGCCTGGAGCATGCTTTGGCGTCTGTGTCTCCCCTTCTCTCTGCCCCTCCCTTGCATGCTCTCTCTCTCTCTCTCTCTCTCTCTCTCTCAAAAATAAAATGAACATTATATTTTTTAAAATTATATCAGGATAAATGTAATGATAGGGCTCACTCATCAGAGATTCTGTATTCAAAGCTAAAGGGCTAGAAATGACTTTAACAGTTTTCTTGGTTAGCTGTCCAAAATGTGGACTCAAAGGTGGCCTATGCTAAATTAAGTTGAAGTGCCAGGTTTTGGGTATACTATAGAGTCAGTTATCCAAACATTAGGGTAATTGAACTATTTCACATATATTTAGTGATTGCTTAACGTATGTATTCTCTGCGCAGTATCTAACGTTTATAGCTATTAGTTTGAGCTTATTTTTTAATGTTTACTTATTTTGAGAGAGAGAGAGAGAGAGAGAGAGAGAGAGAGAGAGAGGAGGGACAGAGAGAGAAGAGAAAGAGAATCCCAAGGAGGCTCTGCACATCAGTGCAGAGCTCAACGCGAGGCTCAAACCTGTGAAAATTGAGATCATGACCTGAGGTAAAACCAAGAGTTGAAAATTGAGATCATGACCTGAGTTAAAACCAAGAGTTGGATGCTTTAACCTGGATTGAGTCAGCCAGGCACCCCTAGTTTGAGCTTATTAATTACATTATTCAACTTTGATATTTGTGATGGTTTGTTTCCTGTACCTATCTGCTTTCGAGAAGCATGTACTAGAACTCTCTAACCACAATGGCTTGTCTCTTTCTCCTGATTCTATCAGCTTATATTTTTTATGAAAATAATTCTCTAATGATAAAAAAGTTATAGACTTCTTTCTTTAAGTTTTGTAACTTGGCCCTTTCCTTTGGGCTCTCCCCAAATAAAACTCTCTTTGCAAAGGAACATTAATAAATAATGGTGATTTTATTAAACTTAACATAGGTCACATGGAAAGGGATTGTATTTCTCAGTGTATAATATTCATTTCAAAATTTTTCATTATATATTCCTCTCCCAAGTTTCCCTTCTTGACCTCCCATACATCAGGCGTCCCCTTTCCCTTCTCTCTGCTCTGCCTCCGTCCTGTGTTACCATAGCCCTCTCCACTCAGTACCACTAAAACCACCACTATTCTCTCTTGATTTATTATATATAGTAATTTAGCTCTATCCCAGATTCTTACTGCAAACCATATGACTTAACCCACTACTTCATATAAATTCTGTCTATCTAAAGCCATTTTGATGAGGGGACACATATTGATTATGCTCAGAAAGTGAAAGATTCCCCAGCATCTCCCTTAGGGGGCATTTTGGCTTACACATTTAAAAAAAATTTAACATTTTTATTTATTGTTGAGAGACAGAGAGAAACAGAGCACAAGCAGAGGAGGGGCAGAGAGAGAGGGAG